GGTTTAGTTCCTAAGGAAGGTATGTCTACCACTTGCTACCAATTGCTAACTTATATAACTTTATACTAAAGGCTCATTTGCCGTAGTTGTCATGGTCAATCCTTAAAACCCCATACCAAAACCAGTGAATAGTTCGGAAAGTTAAAAACAGCCTTGACCGCAGCATAACGGCGTTGCTAGGTTATTTGATTACCATTATCCTTGGATTACGTCGATGCTTGGTACGGATTCAGTGAGCACAGGATATCAATGCACACAATGCTAGCAAACAGACGGATTAAACAGTAACAAATCACCTATCGTAAAGCAAAACGCTTTTGACAAGTATGCCTTGGATGTACGGTCCTTCGCACGATTCAGTTGCTTATTTATAGAAACAAAACAACGTCAATAATAACAGAGAGTACATCGTGTGCTAAATTGCCCCTTTGGCGTGACATACCTGTACTCAAAAACAGGACAATTATGCTGTTATAATTAGTCAGCTAAAGCAACTCTCAACACTGGCCAGGTTAAATAAAACTAGAATAAAGGTAGCAAAACGAAGAGTAGCGAGTCTTTGAATTAGACGAGTAGTGGAATACCATTAACCTAGACGAAAATGTCGAGCTTAAAAGTAAACGTTGAATTATAGGACTTTTCGGTTTTTAGAACTTTAGAGTTAGAGGACTTTTTCGCTTAAATGAACGCGCTCGCTTACGGTTACAATTATTATAACGGGATACTACTATGTGTGGCGTACAGGACGCGACGAGCTCACAGAGGAGTAGCAACTGTTCTATCCTAGAAGAAGACAGTAAGAAGATGAATAAAACCCGTCGATGTATTACACACGGATTGCTTTATCTACACGGCGCTAGAATATACCCCTGAAAGGCATAGGTTTCAAAAAAAAAAAGAGTTATAATACCAAAATGATGGTTAGAACTTATGTATTTATATCGAAAACGTTATAAAAGGCACCCCCTAGGCAATGAGTAAAGGTTTTGCGCAGGAATTCTCGTGACTGAGAACATGCTATGGTAGAAAAAATTAACCAGGCTTTCTAAAATTCTGTTCTGAATCAGTCAATTAATCACAGTCTTCGGACAACCAGCTCATTGCACATTATGGAGAGATATATATAAATAGTTTACCTACCGGGAATAGCAAGTTCCCGCATTCGAAACAGGAAAGTTGGGACTAATAATACAGTTACAAAGCGGGCGCTCTGTGCTAATGTATCGCGTTATTACACATTTTAATTTTAATCATAGTACAGGTAAAAAGAACTAAAAGGTGCCTGAACTTCTCACGTTCCAGTTATTACGAATGATGGTATGGTGTTGCTTTCTTCCACGAACTGCGTATAATACAAGCCTTTTGATTATCCCTAAATAAGCGTGAACCTTTAAACCAGAACTACTGTTAATTTACTTGCTTGAATTTATATGATGTAGGTAAAAATTTGCTTGCTTTAAGTGATTTTAAAGGCCCCTCGAGTGAAGTTCGTAGCCTGTTTTTGTTTTACATATTTCTCGACTAATCCTATCGATAATTATTCTAAGTAACCGCTTGCTTCTGTTCGGAACACTAACACCCTTAATTCACAGTTTTTTTTTTTTTTTTAATAATACTTTTCCTTTAGCGCCATTAACTAAAACTGCTCTCGTCCGTGGCTGTCTAAACTTGTCATCATAGAGCCATTGACGTTCTGAAAGGAATCTCTTTTATTAGGGTTATAGCATAACATCTTTAGCACCTAGCACACTTTTCAAATAATAATTTTGTTACACACAAATACGAATCGCACAGTCAAGCTCTTCGACGGGCGATAAAATAAGGCTGTATTGGCCTACTCTAACTGATTGTTGAAAGCACTAAATTAACAGAAAGAAAACCGAAAACCATTATCTAAAACTGTGAAAAATATATACCTATAACAGGTGAGTGTCTAACGCAGATCATTTGTTGTGCTTATGCTTATGCTTACGCTGGCTGCTTTGCGTGCACTTCTGACAATCGACAACTATAAAAATTAAGGAGCCGTATCAATTATTAGCTTGAAGAAATCTTTAATATAATCCTTTGTATCGCCTGGCTAGCTTTGAGCCAGAGCTTGAGAGGCACTAACACAGATGTTGCAGGTCTTGTCCTCAGTCTCTGGTCAACCCAGAATCAATATAAAGGTCCCCTCGCTACCTGCTTCACCTCTAAATAAGCCGATCTGACTTTGACGTAAAATTTTTGGCAATTTGGTTTGCAGTGCTTTTATCGAAGAAGTTTCCCGTCGAGTAGTAGTGTATTAAATTATTCGGTAGATCATTGGTAGAGCACTTTTCCGTTTTTAGAAGCGCTACTACCGAAGCGATTACTATTAAGCGAAAGTATCGTCCGTTGCCGTAAGTTTCTATGAAACTTAATCATTTCTGAAAGGATATCTGCACTTTTAAATCGTTTACAATGTGTTTTGCTGCTATATCCTAAGGGCAAGGTAGGCGAACTTTGTAAAACGATTCATAGTATACAGTAAAAGTTTTTTCGAGGAAGCATGCATCTGCTGAAATTAAGGACACCTTACGAAGTGTTAATGCTAAGTAATTTACATGCATTGGCAAAAAAGCTTGATGGCCCGTGGATGGGGTAAGTCTTCTACCGTGAAGGTATTTAAAGAATCTCTGAAATGCAACTACACGTTTAAAGGTTTCTTTTTTTACCTAAACATCGCGTTTCCTAATCCATATTAGCTTGGATCTATGGCTACAATAACTGGAAGGTTAGAAGCATAACTTACCGTTCTTCTGTAGATGTCCTTTAAATTATCTGGGCAATTATGACACGTCTCATGAGACATTATGACACACGAAACTGAATGCTTTCCTGTAGCAATTTGTCTAATAGGCCTCGTTTTCCTCAAGCTTGTCAACAAAAGCTGCATGATGATGTATAATTTTACTCAATAGGAGTCTCTATCCAAAAACATTAATGGAACCAAGCATTTGAGATCTTATTTTGATTTTATTGCATGGATATTATCTGTTTGCGGCAGGCATACGAATTCTTAAGAATATCGAAACAATTGCACGTTTCTAGCTTTACCTAAAAAAATCTTTTATTGCGTTCCTCGATAGTTTCCCCCGAGACGGTAATATCCTTCAAATTACTGCAATGCCGTAGATTCTCCGTTACTCCTCCTTTTGCTTTACGTTGAACAAATTCAGATGCGCTCTTAATTCCAAACGAAAGTTTATCATACGACCAGGACTGTATAGTCTGAGTGACCAGCTGGCTGGGGTTTTATTTCCCACTAAGTAGCCAGGCTTGGCTTCTGGCCTTCCTAAGAGAGTATAACAAACAGGCTAAGTTTTAGAGAATATTGGATGCGTCTGCGGTTTTAATATAAGGTTTTCCTTTATTGTAATAGCAACCTTGATAAATATACGGGTGGGTATCCTCCTTAAAGAATAGCTGTCACTCTACGACGTTCCTCATCAGTTATATGCTAACTAGTGAAGCTCTATTTGATAGCTACACCCACCTAGAATAGGCTGACTGCTTCAGTGCCTTTTTCATCAATTGGTTCTCAGTAGTTCTACGATTTGCAGTAAAGCAGTCGTTCTAAAATGGCTCTCCGCTTAACTCTACTCCAGGCACGAAATATTTTCAGCACTTTAATTATTTTTAATTAGCAGCGGACTGGGGACCAATTCTGCTTTGCATTATTTCTCCCAAATATATACAATATATTAATGGCGGTAACGTTCGATCTCGCATCTTTTCGAAATCAAATCATTTTCTTATTCATTTGGGTTATTCCAGATATACTGATTAAAGCTTTACCGTGGCTGCTTCGCTTTAAATTATGCTCGTAGTATACACAGCACTTGAAGCAGCATCCCGGACCTAGTTTTCGAATAGAGTTCCGTCAATTATACGGTCGGCGTAGCTCAATGGACGTGTTGTCCTGAATTTTGGAAACGCGCTTATCTCTTTTATTACTCGTTTTATTACAGTAGGTGCAGACCCGAGCTTGCGCATGCTCGGCTTCGTTGTTTATGACTGGCAACACAATTCTTGCATCAAAAGATTTTTGGATCCGCATTCGTTTTGCGTTCATTGACTTTATTTAATCGAATTGATAGTTCTAATAATCTCTTAATTTAAGATCCCTTTTTCTGCAATCTACTTCAGCGTGCTCTTTAGCTGTATGTGCTACTTCACACGTCAATTGAGTGTATGATGAATGTAACTTCCGAAGCCGCTACTAAATGTTTTTACACGATTTGCTTCATATTTTAATATCTGGGTCACGCTAAACTACAACGTCAAACGAGGCATTACATTTATTCATTCATCATGTACACAAGTTTCTCTAGCTGATTTACCTTACCTGGACAACCGTCAAAAATTTATCACATTGATAAATTGTCCATACGGATGCACTTCACAGAGGTAATACATCCTCAAGAACACAGTGATATAATATAGTATCTGTACTAGTTGTCTCCTGCGAATAAAGTTCCGCAGGCCTTTTTTAATAAGATATGCGCACTGAAGCTGTCACCTCATAACTTGTTTAATCTATTTCGAATAATTCTATTTTGTTCCGTAAAACTTATCCTTTGTTATTTGACCTGTTCAGTATTTTTTGGACATCTGTCTGCGGGGCCCTAAGGAAACTTCGGCGTCCTCGATCGTAAATTGCTGATCACTGAATCCCCTGGGATGATACCTGCTTGCAGTTTCTCAAACATCTCTTTGAAGACTTAGCTCTGAGCGGTAATTACGTAACTGACTATTCTTTGTAGGACACATTGATTCATTTTTGAAAATAATCCCCATTGTCAATGGTTTAAGTTAGTTAAGAATCAAAAATATAACTTCACTCTTTTAAGTTACCAAATATCTATTCTCCAAACTTAGCGAGATTTGATATAGAATTAATTGCAGTTTATGACGTTATGTTCATTAGCATAAAGCTCGTCTGACACTCGTTCTCTATTGTGAGTTGCAAGCTTTGTCGAAGAGCGATAACAATGACTGTTTTGTAGAAGTATAGTATGTTAGCGAATGATGATTTCCTTAACTTAACCATTACTTAAAGTATGCATACCTAAAAATAACAGATTAGGTATCAGAAACTAAGGTTTTCATTAGTCAGCTCTCAGCACTTCTTGCTGTGAAGCTCCTTATCTGTTTATTTAACATGGAATGCCTATTTACTAGGTTGTTTCCAGTTTTCGTTTTAATGGTGCGCAAATGTTACGACAGCCTGAGGTTCTTTATTCTGTTGTCGTCGTTTTATTAGAACCATAAAACCTCGTTTTCAGTTCCAATTGCAAAGGTAAAGTATGTTGAACAGCATTTGGACATGTTTTGTTTGGCTCTTTCTGAGGTAGGTCAAAAAGGTGTCGAATTAGGCTCCATATAGATGCGGCGTCCATAGCAAGGATCCTGTAGCTGGATCTGTTACTGCAAAACGGCCTGTTGAGCCGTTTAACTTTGAGTTCGATCAAGATTGCATTGAGCCACTTTTCAACAATGATAGATACTGGTCGAACGTAACTGTAAGGTATGCACGGTACGCAGAACATATATCTTAGTTTGTTATAGAACATCTGCAAAGAATCAGATTCGCAAATTCGCTGCTTTTTAAGCCGACGTATTCGTCTCAAGATCAGAACTTTTGCGATCCGAACAAAGCGATAATAACAGCCCTATGGAGAAAGAACTTTCCAGTGATACGTCCATTTCACTATTTGTAAAAAGAATTAATAATAGGATGCAACAAATAAAAGTTTAATATAATATAGCTATATTTAAGATGGTAGCTTAATTCAAATGAATTGATAAAGAAATCGCTGTCTAATCCGGTTGTTAGCCATATCGACAGATAATTAAAGTAGTCTTTCCTACGACTAAACCGTACGTGCCATGCGTTTAGTACAATCCGTCGTCAATCCGGAACTTTGCGTTGGTAACTGGCTTTCGCAGTCATCTACCGCGCATGTGCCGTTCTCAATAGTCACTTGAATTAGCAGCACATCAAACACCATTTGGCTGTCTTCCCTACAACTACAGCACTGTCACCACCGACGATAACGTCCACCATGTCACAACGTTGATACAAGTTCTGTATTACCAAATTATTTAACCGTAATCCTACTTTTTCCTGCTGTCCTGAATTGGGACCGATACTCGTGTAACAGGTTTCGTTTTGTGGATGCGTACCATTGCCCGCTACTACGTAATATGCATTGCTGTTCATACCAGGGTCTTGACATAAAATACCAAACTGCTACATACAATAAGCGTTCCTGTTGACAAAAATGGGCTATTGACTATGAATTATGGACCTTCAACCTGTACCAGTTTAGTGTAAACGGAAGCATCTGGGTTTCCAGGATGGGTTTCTTAGAATTAGCCCTCTCTAGAAAGTTCCAGATATAAATTAAGATGTTGTGGTTAACTTCGGTAGTTTGAGGTTGAGCACATGGATACAAATAGATTGGGTTCAGCTAAATATTTAATAGAAAATATGTTTTGAAAAAATTAAGCATACGAGACAGGATGAGATCAGAAACGTTGCCGCAAATGTTAAATGGATCAGAACCTTTCGATGGCATAGCTTATTACGAGCTGTACATGTACTAATTCAAGTTTAAGACGTAGCTTATGTCAAAAGATGGCAATATGACAAAGTAAATAATTGGGATTAGAATTAATAGTCAATTCTATATATACTACACGCAGGACAGTTGTTTTGATATAATAAGCGTCAGCTGGGGCCAAATCCGGATTCTCATGATTGTGACTCTGGCGTTTTGTTTACCCCACACCCTTAACAGTATACTTTTTTTTGGGCTTTTAATAGGAAAGTGAATAATCATTAAGTTGATGACGTAATCCGGGTCCTGCGGTCTCAACATATCTTCTGACAGACATATACTCATAAATATATGTCCGCGCAATTTCACACGTTTTGCTGTTTCCTGTTCTCGGTATAATATGTTTCCGAAGTGTGCTACAGGTTCAGTGGCTCGCCATATGGCATGAAAAGGCGTGTAACACCTTCCTCCTCGTTGCAAATTGACGCGTTTCGCATGGTTACAATTTAGTAGCTTTCCCGAGGCAGTTGTTGTTGGCCCCGATATCGTCGTAACGCCGAAACGAGATCGCATCTGCGGCCAGCCTTCGCCAAACAACCGTCTGCACGCGTGCATATATACATAGAAGTAAGATCTCTAATGACAGAAGCATTAGAAAAGCGCCTCGTAAAAAGAGTGGCTGTCTATCTGTCTCCGGCTATCGCTACGTCCATTGGCGACGCTGCCAGACACATTACTGTCAGCAGCACTAATACCATGTTTCTTTCCTCTTGCATCCGTACCTGAAAAAGGGCATCCTGCTGTGACCGCGAAAAGGTAGTGAACAAGTGATCCGTCATCTCTGCTGGGGCCCTTCTCAAAGAGAGAATGGTAAACGCGTGCGTGGGAAAGAAGGCTAGGGAAAACACGGATGAACAACGCAGCTCAAAGTCCGAATCGTTGTCTGGTTTCGATAAAGAGCACCGCAAACTCCATGCCATTAGCATCATCACCATTGCCATAATTCATACGTGGATAAGATGTAATGGGTCCCCAACTGCAAAGGCCACTCGAAGAGCCTTCACAGTTAGGGACAAACCCCGCGTTTTTACCGTCTGTTATAAGTAGACCATACACCGACATTTCAGCCACAGTTCTACAGAACAGATTCATATATTCGTAATTATTGTTATCAGAACGGATTCACCAGGCTCCCGTCACGCCTTATGAATTGACTTGTCTTCTTCTAGCAAGCCAGACAATGCCCTTTGAGTTCACGTCAAGCATGAAAGAAAATAGTTAATCTCCTTCAAATTTATCTTATGCTCTACTTAGACAAATAAAGATGGCAAATACTAGTTAGGTAAGTTAGTGAGGTAAACATACAGTAAGAATGTTTGCTTCTCCATTCATGCTATTCGTGTAGGTTAGGTTAGGTTCGTGAAAGAATCTTTATTACAATTAACGGAGTCAATGTTACATGCGAAGCCTCAGACCTATATTCATAAAATAAGCCTTTGTACAAATTTAGACGTATAACCTAGCCACATATTTCACGCAAGTTCTGGGGCCACAATAATACTCGAAAAAGTGGGATGAAATAGTATATCATGTTGCTATTAAATTATTCATGAAAGGCCAGCCAGCATTATCGCTTCTATGAACAGCAGCCAACAATTGACAACAGATGCAATCGATCTTGATGCAATCGGCCTTGAAATTGGGGTTAAATACAATAGATTATACAGAACGCCATTGTACCAAAACATTGTCCAAAGTAGACAATTCTGGATTTTAATAGCTCCTTTTGATAAGTCGTCGACGTCTTTCTATGTTGACCACGAAAGCTTAGCTGGAATACCAGGATTCGTCACTACGGATTAGATCGAATTATTAATTGTCAAGCTAATTCATAAAGCAAACGCAGTGCTTATAAAAAAAAAAGTAACTTTAGGTATTGTACATAAATTCCACACAATCGACCCCAGTCCGCAACGCCGCGATGCTAGTTTCAGGTCAACCGTATCTTAGTATTATAAACGGTACCTCGCTACATTTTTCTATCTGGAAACGTCCCTAATAATAGAACGAATAATATACTCATTGAATTGGCCAGCTCTTACGAGGCTGACGAGATTGGTTTCTCGTACAATAGTTACGATTTAATGGCGGAGCCATCTGTACCACATGCCTCTCTCAAGGTTGTTGTCATGTGACGACAGTACAAATGCATCTGGACGTCTACGATGTACAAAGAATACGGAAGACGTGTTATGCCTCTTTCGTTGCCATTGGTAGTTTGCCCCTTGATATAAGACTTCGATTGCACCGTCCTCTTGATAATGCCCGTTCCATCCGGTACTCCGTCATCATCGAAAGCTACGCTTGCTCTCGATGACGCTGAATGCGAAATGCCGAACGAACGGGACACATAAACGTGGAGAACAGCGGTCGCGGGGGTTTAGAGGAGAACTAGGGAGATCTCGATGAGGAGTGGCCCCTGCTTTCGTTTCAGAAACGACTCGCCATCAAATGTAAAATCACGACAAACGCCAACGAGCCAGCTGCAGCTGATTAAGACACTAAAACTAGCGAGATAAATGTGCAGATTATTTTAAATTGATAAATATGCTCTCTAGTAATAGGAATTTCGCGCGATTGCATTTTGCCACTTTTATGCTATGCGAAAAAATATTAAAGGTTAGAATAGTTTTTAATTATGATCTAGATTGCCGTAACCGTCATTGTATTATAATGACGATTTTGGGAAGAAAACATTTTGAAATCCCGTTCGAGCCATGGATTCACTACTATGGGTCTACACGAGCATGATATGTGGGTTCATTCCTTAAATCGTGGACGGCACGCGGACAACCTTGCAGCAAACAACGTTCCGTTGTGGTCCCTTAAATCAGGCCATATCCAACACATAAAGATAGTTTATAGCGGGCATAGCATTCACCCGCTTCCAATCCTTATCAGAACGTCGGCGCATTGTAGCTAGCGCTCGCTTTTATTATAATGGTTCCAAAGCTAAATGGCCCGAAAAAATCGCATGCCTCGAGCCATTCCAGCAGGCGGCTTCGTATACGAAGACGACACCCGTAGCGCAAACGCGATCATGCCACACGCGGACATACACGCACATACGGGTGCACGTAAGGAAAGCGAGATGGACGCAACTTACGAGAAAATGCGGCTTTGATGTTGTCGCGCTGGTTTATTACTCGTAGTAAAGCTACTTTATATTAAATACTAAAGTATAACTACTGTCATAGCAGCACTTCGTGAACATATGGTAGCCGTAATATGACAAAATCCAAACTTTACACCCCTTTTTGATTCGACTTACCTAAAGGATACTGTAGCATTCGCAAATACTTATCTTATTGCCGAGAATGGGCGAAACAATGTCGCCTATTCCTTCGAGCAGACTTCATGCTGTCATCAGTGCGTCCGATAAGATAATCCTGTGCGATTGCAGCTTTTCGCTTGATATTACCGGGCTGTCGAAAGAGTATCGGCCATTTTTCAAATTAGATCGATTTATGGTAATCTATCTCAAATTGGGGTCAGCTGAAAGTTAAGATGTAACTGCGGCAAATTTATTGGCATGCTTTTGTTCACTTACTTAAAATAGAACGCCCTAAAAATGAGTAAAATTTAACAAAAAAATAATTATATATTACAGCTTTATGAGAGAAATTTGTGCTGTTTATGGTCAAAACGTGCGATCGGAACAAAATGCTATAGATGGTTTTCGTTCCAGAGATGTCTCTCGTAATCGTCGAAAGATCACAAGAAAAAAAGGTTGATGAAATAAATTACTGTTGATGAAAGTTGAGCAAGACTGACACATAAATAGCTATGATGTCTACAATGAATTTGCTATAAGGCACCTTCAAGAAAGCTGGCTACAAAGAAGCTCTATGAAAGTTATGTACCCGATCGTATCTGAATCTGCAAAACTTTTTCCACACCCAACGAAAAGAAATTGATCACGGACAATGACAAGTAAATCACCTGCGACAATTAAGTGTAAATAAAATAAAATAAAAACATCGTGTTTCATCATCTTTAGTATAGCCCAGACTGACGTCGAACTATTTTGGATGGCACTGGAAAAAAAATCGCAAACTATAAAATATTACCACTTGACAAAACGATTGATTGATTCCGGCCTCTACTGTCAACAACTAACAAAATTACAACAAGCCACTGAAACAAATCGACCGGAACTGGTAAACATGTCCCCATAACCATAGGGGGTAAACATCCCCCATGACAATGTCAGACCGCATATACCCTTTTCAGCGACCCGACGGTAATTTCTATTGATTCGCAGTGTAGCTCGGATCTTGCACTATCCGCTTATTCTTTGTTCATTTAAGGGTGTTAATTCAACTCCCAATAAGAAGAGGTTGCAAAAACCAGCTATCACAGTTTTTGACCCAGAAAAAGTTTTACGGTTATGGTGTTATCAGAAAAATGACAGAGGTCGTCGATTCAAATGGCGCGTATTTAATTTAGTCGTATTATTTTGAAATATAAAGATTATTTGTTTAAATTTTGGCTTAAAACGATTAGTTCTTCAACAGTCCAATTATCATTAGTATTGAGCGATAAATGTTTAAGAAACCATGTCGAACTGGAAGGCATATTTCTAAGCGAATTTATTAAAATCCATCTTAGGTAGAAAATTATTATAGAACTTTGTTTTAATTGAAAAGTTGTCGCTACTATATTTTCGGTGTCGTATTATTGAACTTCACTGTCATCAGATAGAGTTTCGATAGGTTGACGTTGGATTCAGTCTTCAACGAAGCAGCTAGCCCTGTAACTGGGTTCCGTGCTGCTTATTTCTGCCCAAACATATTGCTGCTATATTACAGGGCAGGGGCGAATGGGAGGCATCAAGTCGCAGGGGAGAAGATGAGGGAGGAAGAGCAAAGGGATGTTGTAACGGGGGGCGAATAAGTCAATAGGCTAAAGAAGTGAACGACATTTTCGCTTTGGCAAAACTTGATACCTAGCCAGTAACATGCAACGACTAAACAAGTGACCAACAGTATGATCTGATAACGATGACAGTTGTATGTTTTGCGGACCACTCTATGCGCATACAAAGATCAGCACTTCAGCGCTTTCTATCGAGATGTATTGAACCAATACGTACACGTCAGAACAGGCCAGTGCTTGCAATCATGTTCTGTACCTTCGAAAATAATAATAACGATAGCCTATTGCTATTACTACTACCACCACCTGGAGTGGCTAGCGATTTTCGGCAGCAGTTTCGGGACTGAAAAGAAGCAGAAACTGAGCGAGGGAAAGACTCCTGGGAGCAAGGAAAAGAAGGCAGTCAGAGTGAGGCAGGAAGACGAGGGGACGTGGGGAAGCGCTTCGCGACTTGTCGAGCAGGTCTCTTTACCCACGCCAGCTTGCCGTAGTCGCGTCTGCTCACTCCTGTCGCCGCCGCACAACCTAAAGTGGCGTTCATTATTTAACTTATTGTCCGTTAGCGCGCGACCGAGAACCAACGACGCAGACAACGGGCAGGTCGAGGAGTTGAGTGGACAGGCAAGTAAAGATGGGGGAATGACTGTGTTGGAGGCTCAAGCTGCGTCGTGAAGCCGTACCCCTCCGTGTTCTTCATCTCTATCACGCACACATACGATGTATCTCTGTTTTTCTCTAACTTTTGTTCTGTTTTGGATAGACATGGGCCTTTGGCTTAACCGCTGTGTGGGGGCGAAACAGCTACCAGCAAAGTTGGACTAGATAGGGACTCAAGAAAGGGGGTTTCGACGGGGTGGTCAGAAAAAAGCGCTAGGGAGGTGGGAAAAACGAGGGGCACTCCTGAGCGGTGGCCGACAAAGTAAATTAGATTACCATCGTTCTCGACTTCCTGCCCCCAACTGGCCCACTCTAAACTCAGTCCATCTTCGAGTCGGCGGCCGAAGACTCCTGTCCCGCCGCTACGGCCGCCATTGGGGCCGGAGAAACTTGCTCGCCCTATCCACACATACAACCCTAAGTCAAGCTGGCAAGTGAAGCCACGGCTGTTAGACGCCGCGCTCTAAGGGTCGAAAAACTCCCTAATTCCCCCATACGAAGTACTCGCTTCTTTACTCGGCCTATATCCGGAAAGGGTCTTCTTTCTTACCTTGGCCTCTTTGCCGTTGTTGCTGGCTCTGACGTGGTTGTTCAGGCGTGGTACACGTCCGAGCCCAAAAGTAGTGCTAGTAAGGACTAAGAGCTTCTCCAATTTAGAGTCGTTACGAGTTTCGTACAAACTCACCATACAAACACCTGTATTGAACGGTTTCGTTGCCACGTTTGAAAGACTAAAATCGGAAATGTACCCATATTATACTAGTAATTTAGTCATTATGCCACACGTATTGCTGCGTCCGTTAGACTGGTTACCTCAATGAAAACGCCTCTCGTCCTTATATACGTCGTCGCCCTCACTGGTTTTGATTCTGTACATAATCTGCAAAATAACAGATACATTTATCGAATAAATATGTCAGTATTTTGTCCAACAGAACAGCAACTTCAGAACGATGTACATATTGTACCTACAATGTCTAAACCGTAATCAATGTATACTGTAATGGTTATGCAATCACTTCAACGGTGCCCATCAAGAACAAATCATCATCCCGATTTCATGTTTGTGAACTTCGTTCATATAGCTTTTATGGACAGTCAAATTTATATGGGTCAATTGATATAAATCGCATGTTAGAATAAGAAGTGTGTTGGTGAAAACACTCTAAGTGACCATTTGAAATATCCGGTATTAAAAGCCAATATTCGTAGGGTATAGAAACGCTTTCCTATAAAAGTTTACGTCAGTAGACATATCACGGATTTAGCCCTTTGGAACAATGGATCTTTAAATACATTTGCTAGTACTCTATGCTATAATGTTAATATAGTATACAACTCTTGCAGGTAACATGATGGTATTTGTATGTTTTTGCTTCATTATCAATTCCCTTCCGGACAAAGCAATTTAAGCAAATGCAGATGGTCTCCTTGATCATCTCTAATACCGCCTTTGTCTGCTAGATCTCAACTCTTTAATGAAAAGCCTGGCAATAGGGTGGCGGTGAGCTCTGTAATCCTCGCGCTTGTTCAGTGTCTGCGAACTGCTCGTATCGTGAGAGCCCTCTCTACTGATAGGTCCCTGGAACAATACTATTCAACAGTACCAAGACATATCACAGCCAGAATTGCTGAGAGTCAGCTATGGAAGCAAGTTTTTATGCAAGTACGTAAGCTTTTGTTTTTATTTATTTAAAACTGAATTTGGCCGTAGTAGCTCCCATTAGGCACGAACACCCCTGTTTAGATTTCTCAAAATGGTAATAGCAAATAGTGATGTTTGGAAATAGGCGCTGCCTACACCTCTTACCTGCTACACTAACAGGACAAACCTGCCGTTTCTTAACACTTCTCTTTCTTGTATATATATTTTTGGGTCCTATAGCACAGTGTGGAAAGACCTATTGGACCCGACATGCATATAACTCAGGTAGCTCAAAGTTGCTCAGAAATTGCAACGTTTTAAGCCTATACAAATGCTCGAGTGTTGAACTATTAACATGGCTGGAAGCTATTTTCACGACTACATGGTATTTAAGTAGACATATTTATTATAGCACTTGTCCCATATAATGTAGTAGTGTGTATGTTTTCTCTAGGCACAACTGTTACATAAGGATAAATCTAAGAAGACGCGTTATACATCCGCCATATTTGGTTCAGAGGCTGACTCAATTTTTTCGATAGAGAAGTTTACATATTTTTTATATTGTAACAAATTCGTCAATCAATTGTCCCGTTCATCTTGTATCGTTCAATTCGTTACCTTTAATTAAATAGCTCGATGCGAGCTCATTGTGTTAGAACAAAAAGACGCTCTAAGGGTTATCAGTCATAGCATAAATTACTTCCTGCACGCGTTTGTGATGCCTACTACTAGTAGCTACTAGATAGCATGTAATAGTAATAGACTCCGCCATAACTTATTGCTTTATGGAGTAGGCTATCAAGTATCGCACAAATGTAAATACGAATAGCGTTTTATGATTATTTGATCAAAGCACGAGACAGAAAGCACCTAAAGGTGAATCGTGAGTTTTATACTATTATGTGCCTAGATACTGCGCAGAATCAAGCCTGTGTCTCGCCTTAAATCGCTTTCTCTATCCAGTGGGTGAAACGTCGCCTTTTCGAGAAGCTTGGAAACAGTAAAGGGGAAAACCGCACCGTTAAGTTCTCTTGACGTCAGGTGATAGTTAGTTTAGAGTGCTTAAAGTGGCAGGTCTTGCGTGCGTTTCTCTACTGACGATGGTGGGCAGGTGGAAGAATGGGTTGGTGGTCCTTACCTGCTGCCCCTTTACTAGCCAGGCCTCAACTTGCCTCTCTTGATAAGGGGGAGGATGAAAGAGTTACAAACAACGTGGTAATAGGGACAAAGCGACGGGTGAGAGCAATAGCTCAGGTAGGTCGGAGACAGAAGACTAGGGAATTTGTAGCACTCGAATGTTCGGAAAGCATGTCACTCTACTGGGCATATACAAACACACCCGCAGTTGAGGTGAGATGCTTTCTTAGCTTGTCCGGCGCTCGCCCATCCGCTTGCTCACGCAGCTCCCTGAAGACTTGCCTAATGATCTCCTTCACCTGTTTACTCGAAACAACAGTTCGCCTGCACCTCTGTCAGTTGCGCCCTTTTCTTGTCATGGTCCTTCTTTTCTCTTGCATCTGTCTCGGTTTTTCTGACCGGTTTGTTTTTCGCAGCGTCGGCATTGCCTCGAGCAATACATACCGAGGCATCAAGGGGCAAAAGACAGACGTCCTACCTATCAGCCGCCAACCATCGCCACCACCATTAACGTACGTTTTGCCCGCTGCCAGCGGTTTCCCGTTTTTTTGTACTTTTACAGAATAACGCTAAACAATGCCCGTCATTCTAACAGACACACAGCTACACGTGCACAAAACACAGAAAAGCACAAAGAAAGGTAGAAAAGCAGGCTCATACAAAAACACGGCGCATATACGTATAAGTACATATACCCGGGCGAATTCATATAGGCTTGACCGTGCGTTACTTGCTGAAGTGTCTTTTAGCTTGCTTTTATCCCCGTTTACGTTCCTCTAAGGAGACGCAGGCAGGGAAGAAACATTTTGATGTTCTCTCTTTTTTAGTCCTTCGTTGCGTTTTTTCTTCTTTTTTTCATGCGCTAACTGGTTGCAAGCCTGTCTAGCTAGTTCAGCCCCACTCCGATGTTCACTGATCTGGAAGGACCTTGGAGAGATCGCAAACGGCCAGGCGTTGGCGCTTCTCTGTTGGCTGAAAGACGTCGAAGACAGAGAGCTCGGCATAACGGCTCTAGCTAAAGCTTTGGATAAGCGTGGCAGTTTGAGATGGGTGGGGTTTAGGATTTAGGGCGGGAGTGAACCTTTTTGGAGACCGCTGCTTCGAGAGACGCAAGCGGAGGTTGTTTCCCCCTCTTTGGTAGCTGGTGGTCTCTTTCGAGCGACTTGTTCGGTTCTTGAGGGCTAAATTGAAGGACTTCCTGTAGAGACATCGGCGACGGAAAAAGCGCGCAGACGACCCAACCCAACACCGAAGTGGCGACATAGACCGACACACACATACAACAAATCCACGGTCACTCACTTCTAGTCGTCATTGTCGTCATCGTTGTCGTTCGTCGCTCGTTTGCTCGACTTTGACCGTTCTCTGGCAGCTTCTTTTTGTCTTTCGGTAGGTCGACTGCTCGGCTTGAAGCAAAGAACCTCGAAGCAAAAGAAAGGCAGAAGAGACGATGGGAAAAATTGCTGCTGTGAGTTGGTGGTTATGGCGACGGCGGCGGAGAATGTAGTCGAAGAAACGCGCCGATAGCACAAGTAGCATCCGCGACAGTTGAAACTTGGCCGCTGCTGATCCTGCTGGTCCTACTATGGCCACGCCGCAGTGCAAGGATGGAAACAATTTTTCCCTTATTTGATCCATCCACTTACTTCATTTGGGAACAAATAGAGATCACTGGCTTCCGCTCTCCCTTCCGTTTCACCAGACAGTCATGAGCAGCTCGCCCGTACGTCAGCCCGCAGGCGAGCAGATCTTCGTTCTTTTCTCATGTGGCCACCGTCACCGTTGCGACGTTGCCATACGTCGGCTGAAGCCCACTACTACCGACTGCCTTCCGGTGTCAGCACTTCTTTATTTCTCCGGCTTTCCTAGGTTTTCGAGCTGACGCTGAGAACCTCTTTTTCGGGAATGAGTGGGTTTGTCCCTTTGGCAGAGTACTACTGCGGCGGCTGCTGATGTCACCCTCGCTTTCTTGCTGTATTCGTTCTCTCATTTAATTTGAAGGATACTTGGTCGCTAGGTTAGTCAGCCACAAGAATTCAGAGGCTGCTAGATGGCTAATGCATTAGGACGTTCACCGGACGAACGGCGTTGATCGACTAAGTAAAATAGCAGTTATGCAACAGACGTTTATACAATAGCTCTTAATCTATTTTATTATATAGACGAGCAGGCACGCAGCGGCTGTTGAACAATGAGGTCCATTTAGTTTGTATTGTAGATATTTAGGTGAGGGTGCATATGCGGTTAAGTAGGCCTATACATATATAACGAAAAATAATAATACTGTCTTGCACAATAATAATAATAATAATAAATTTGCACATTGCATATGAATGAAAGGACGCTACCGTTGAAAAACTTTGTTACTACCTTTCGTTTCCACTAATCCCTTCTCCTAACTGGCCAGACTGACTCGAAGAGCTGGAGAATCCATCTTTGCATTAGTCCATATAAATAGGAATCGGTCGTTATGTCTCCTACTTTCGTTCAGATAAACACTTGATTTATAAACAAACGCATGGTCCTTCAAAACATTGTTTAACAATTATATATTAAAGCAAAGCCCATGTGGTAAAATTAATTAACTATATACATACGTTTGTAGTTTGTATCTCAACAGATAAATAATCCACCAATATTGCCGCCGACGACTGTGGATCATTGTGCGATTTGACGTTCATTTCGAACCGACTAGTTCTCTTCTACAGATTGAAAATATCCTACGAGACATTCAGCTTTGTCGATACTTTGAGTGGGTGGATCTTCTATCGAAAGGAAGAAAAAGAGTGGAGTGCCAGTGTATGTGTGCGTGTTCTACGAAGTTCCGCCCTGAAATACTTTCGCTTACTCCCAGAGGAGTCCAGCACTCAACGGCGTGGCCTTGACTCGATTTTGAGCGTATTGAAGCTTTGGCTTCCACCTATGAAGCGGGACCGCTTCGAAGGCCGAAACACAGTCTCTATTGTGCCGGCTCTTTCTCTCCTTTGTTGCGAGGCACGTATGCTGACCCTGCGGTGTTTCCGACCGCCGAGTACATTCCGCTTTTCACTGTTGGGACAAACGATGGTGAACGTAGAACATAAGCAAGAAAAAAAGGTGGCGAAAGAACACAGCTCTCCTGGTCGATGCCACCAAGTCAATAGTCGTGACGAAACCAAGAAGGAGCGACAGGCGCTAGCTAAAAACGATATCGTTGCTCTCACAAAGCGTTGACAGAAATCGATAAGAATACAGCAGACCAGAACGCGATAAAGGCCTAACGATCTTTGGAAGGAAGTTTATCGTTAAGTGATTTTGCATTGGACAACGTCGTATAGAATGTGTTTAAGAAAATGTCAAAATCGTTGTGAAATGAATTGTTTGTATAGCCAAGCACCGTAACATGTGAGCATAATAACTCGCATAATATTCAATATATATATATATATATACATATATATATAGGCTTTTCAAACTAACCGATAGTGCCTGAGTCCTAAGTTTAGGGTAGGATAACTCTGTGCGACAAGGGCTACAAAATGGTTCCTACTATGTGCAACATATGGAGGTGTTTACGGTGCTTCAGATTATGTAATTATCTTATCGGTCAATATACAGGAGATGATTGGAGGTAATTGTCTATAAATCCCTTGGTGAATTAATCATACAAACGAAAATTATTGCGGAATAACAACTTTTCGTTCCTACGATCACGTTAGATTTGTCGTCACTGTACCCGTATTTGAGTTAAGAATAAGCGCCACCGCAGCTGCTGGCAATAACCTGTTGAAGCCATTGAGACAGGCACTGCGCTGGTTAACTGAAGATCGTTAAAAACCAAAGTTTTTGAGTGGTTTTTCTACATTTATGTATAATTTCGTAGCACTTCCTGTCAAAACGTTTGATGACTGCGCAAAACATCTATCGTTATTATTATCATGGCAAGCTCTGAGATTTAAATTATAGTTTTAATTAATTGCGTTTCTGAAGATTAATCAAAAACAAAAGAAAATATATAAGGGCAATGCTATCGTGTGGTTTTCGATGGGCAAGGTTGGCTAGCGAACTTCAATAGACTAAAACTACTTAAAGTACAATGCATATCGAACCCTGAATCGAGTCCATATAATGTCTCGGCAAATTATTATATAGGGCAGTTATTAATATCCGACACATGAGTCCAAAGTTGGGCAGAGTAGTAGATAACAGTTAGTCCACCTATTCATTAGTTACTTACATGTGGCCAGCTAAGGGGAGGCTGCAAAGCATATTCGTTTAAAGTGGCCGAGATTAGAGTATAGCACTAATACCGTACTCTTATACGAGGCAATCCAAACTAAATTGTATTGAAATCCATGTTTACAAGTAAACAATACAAACTAAATATCTCTTGCATAAATGTAGGTAGTGCGAAGCGTGTAGCATAAAAATCTTGAAAAATATGAAACTACTACAGAAATGTGGCAATTTTTAGAAAATCGCCAAATTCAATTCTTTTTCGTGCCCCATTGCGGCACTCTACCCCATGCTCCTGTGCGACTTGCACATATCCCAGAAATGGGGAACGTGGGGTTAAGTGAACCGGCCAGGTAGATTGCGTCTGGTCTCTGCTACCAAACAGTCGCTACTAGCACTACCACAAATGCTTGGCGAGCGGGCTGGTGTTGGCTGACGCCCTGCCGAACATCACGATTTGAATGAGCTACCATTGGCCATTGCAACGAACGCTTCTACACAGAGACCCTCCAATAGCCTCTGATTCAAATACATACGCGGCCACACGGTCTGAATGGGCAAACGAATCGACGCATTGACGTTCGATAGCGGCTTGTAGTGCGGCAAGAAGGGATCTGTAGGGGTCGTCGATTCTAGAATGAAGCCGGCGCCGAACGCTTCTGGTCACACCGCAGCCTGACTGGCTGATTGGCCGTGCGGCCATTCATCCCAAATATTTCTCAGGTTGCATCTCTCCTCAGAGTGTACACAGGGAGAAAACTGCATGTGTATGAAAGAGATGGAAAAGTTGTGGAAAAGGCGCTCTATAAGATCGGAAGAGAGGCACGTGTAAAAGAGGGTTGTAGTTTGCTTTGCCGACGTCAGAAGAACAGGCAGGCATCCCTACGCTAGACACGTACGTGACTGCGGCCCATCCATCGTGCAGCCGAGGTGAGCCAGTCATTGCACAGGCCTCGCCTTGCCGCCACAACCGCGTGGCTGTGCTCGTGGGCTATCGTGGCAAAGTACTGGCTGAAGCAAAAAGCCAACGAGCTATGATAGGCGTGTTTTGGTTTGTCTACCGTTCCCAAGCCACTACCAAATGTTGATAGATACGCGTGCGTAGTCGTTGCCGCGTTCAGTGCAATTGTTGAAGACCGTTGGCCGAACGGGCATTTGTGGAAAAATCACCTTCTTGCGTTTCGTGATATCTTAGGACAGCAGCACTTGATCCCTCGTCCATTACCAAACCTTCTGGTAGAAGGTTAAGTTCAATTATGCACCGTAAGGCAATAACGTATGGTCAAGTTATAGCAAAGGCGTAATTACATTTCGTTTCCTGCTGGAAGCCAACTCACAATGCAATGCTTAACGGCAATAGTAAACGTAAAACTGGAAGCTTTTGGCCGTTATTATTAGGTATGGCAAAAGAAGTAATTTGACGAAGCTGCTCACAATAATGTTGTTCTAGCTAGATGTGTAAGCTCAAAAAGGAGTCGACAATGAGTCATTCAATAGATAGCGGCTTCTTTTTAATGAAGATCATTTACGATGAAGAAAAAGTTGAAAAAAAAATGCATTTTATAGTCTCTAAGTTATCTACGGCCATTCGTTACGTTTCGTGATGTAGCTACCACGAACTTCCCAAAATATCGTGAAGGGTCATTTCACTATATTGTATCGTATTGATTTTGGAGTACTTCAGGTTCTTGTACGCCATTTTTGAACGAAATCAATATAGTAAACAAAGTTGTACACAACGATTTCAGCACATCAAAACAACGCTAGCTTAGCAGTCAGCAATCTTCCTAGCAAGTTCGATTTAAATCAGCATTTCTGTGTTCATGCTTTGCCAATCTTGCTCATTTCTGATGGCTAGGGAAATCTTTGTTTTCTTATTCCCTACATACTCGCTTCTAGAAACAGGGTCCATTTACATATGTGACTCTCGGACACAAAACGATGTGGACACACACTTTATTATCCTGTCGGGTTCGTGTAATAAATATACATTCGATGATATTATTAGGAACAGATATAATCATATTACTATAAATTTAGCAAATTTAAAACAATTCTACTTAAAAGCGCCATAGTTAGTCTAGCTGGTTTAGCTAAGTTCAGCTAGACGGATCGAAAATGCGGCGATTGCAAACTAATCTTTAACAAATAAAATAATAAAGAGCCACTAGTAGATGAAACGTCGTATAAATAAAGCGTCGCAAATATATTTTCCATTTAGACAAACACTATTGGATATTCTAACAAGCAAATTTCTACTCAAAACAGTATGTATATTGTACGTATTTTTGACACATTAAAAGCAGTCCCACAAAATGCAATGAATGTAATTTTGAGCCAAGTGATAAATTGAGCCCTGGATACTAAATCAAAGTAAAATAAACAACAATATAGGCAATAAAAAACTCGACATAGAAGCCTCCTATTAGGAATTAACAGATGCTTAAGCAGTCGAGGGTCTGAACGTGGCCGCATGGACAAACTTTTCTCGCACTTCCCTTAAAGCCAAACTTCCTATTGCCGAGCATCCTTAGCGATCTCCTGTACGACCAGTTACCGAAGTAGCACTTTCAAAATTAGCAAGTCTAACTTTTTTCCGTCGGTCGAGGCAATCGTAGCCATCGTTTTGCGCACAAGGAATAGAACTGTTCCC